AATTAATTAATATTTTAATATCAAATCTTATAATCTAATCAAATCTCATTTGATTTACAGATTGATGCAGTCATAATCGATGGTGTGAATGCATTGACATTAGGTAAGATGATCTGTAATTAGAATTATATGATCTAATATTTTTCTATGATTTCACAAACATTTTTACCATAATCTTTTATCCTTTTTATGGTTTCAGAAAGACGTTCGCCATTGTTCCATGGAAATTCTACTAATCAATGGTGGTCTATACAACTGCATACATACGTGCAAGTACATTTCTTTATTTCTTTTCTTTAATTTTAGAATGGATCTCCGACGCAGCAACCTCCCCGTGGTGAGATCCGGTAACCGATATTGCTTACGGTGTCCATAGAATTTATATGGTGCAACGTAAGCACTGTCGGGCCAATGGCTGACGTTCGATGCATTAGAAAATTTTAACTTCTCGTTTTATTAATTAATTCTAATGCAAATGAAATGATATATTGAATTAATATATATAATATATAATTAATTGTTCAAATGATTATATATAAATATTATACCTTGTTTAGTTTTATATTAATGCTATATCTATTCTTTACTATAGATATTAACGCAATTGGTATACTTCTGTAAAAATAACCCTATCGCGATTAAATTTATTTTTTGAAGATAGAATGCAACGCGATATTTTCTCGTTTGTATTTTATCTTAATTTTTTTATGTAGCTTACAAATTTGTGGTTACATCTATTGAATATTTTCTTATTAATAATTAAAGCATATAAAAATAGTAGCACGATTCCAGAATTTTTGGAATACGTAGTTTAAATAATTTGAATTATAAAACGATTAATATCTTTTTTATTAGTAACATAATAAATAAACAGAAGTACGCTACGACTTGCTTTAACAAAACTTTGATTTTCAGAGCTTTAATTGTGATTGCGTGCAATGCAATCTTAGAGTCAGTGTTTGTTTCGAAAAATGTGTTGCATTTTTTGTATGCAATCACATAGATTGCTTTAAAAGTAATTCAATCGTAATTTAAAATCAATGCAAGAATTTGTTATAATATTCTTGTTAAAAAAACAATTTGCTCGTTGCGCGATTACAATCATTAACACACTTTCGGCCAATTCGATAGAAGAGGATTTGCATCTCGATTAAAATATTGTCATGGTCGAAARTGTGAATTAAAATATCTTCGTTTCTTCTGGATCATCTTTATCAACGARTCTGSGGCTTCGTCTGGATAAATCAACGGTTAGTATTATTTTATAATCTTAATTATTACTTTTCACATATTCATTTTTTAAATCATGATTGTTTTTATTCATATTTTTCATTCATGAAAAATGTTTTGAATGATATGAAACATAATTAATTTTATTTTGTATTTTTAATTTCAGATTAATCATCAATGCAACAATTCAACGATTCATCGATTCAACGATTCATCAATTCGACAATTTATCCAATTTAAATCAACTTCACGACATCATTCAACCAACAGCGAGGGGGACGAGTGTTTTGGAGCCATCGCARAACTTCTACTGCCAATTGTTCAGTTTCATTTTTTATTTTATTTTTTGGTAACAATTGGTAACGAGTAAGTCAATTTAAAGTCCCTCCAGTGCCCAATCATGCCGAGGGTGAAAGATCCAATATCGGCACGGGTTTCTGGTTGTATTCGTAGATGTATCTTGTCCGAAACGAGCATAAGCGACCGTAAGTAAAACTTTTTGTTTTGCTCACGAGTGATTCCCAATATATATGTGATTTTTATACATGCAATTTATTTAGATTAGGCCAGGGTCTTCTTGTTTCATCGGTTTCAATTCACTTAATTAACATTGCAATTAATTATTTTACTTATTTTTTTCTCTCTACTTATTTAATCGTGTTAGTAATGGTGAAATACAGCATTAATTTACTCGATTTCGTGCCAATAAAGCATATACAAATTGTTTTATATGCATTGCTTCTTAATTAGTTTTTCAATTATGATTAGTTTTTTAATCTTGATTAGTTTTTCAATCGTGATTTATATTTCGATATATCGATACTTCGATATTATTATCAATAAATGAGCAA